CTCATTGGTGCATAGCCAAACTGTGAAAACCTATGATTGGTCCAAATGGCCACTGTCGAAATCTAATTGGTGCATAGCCAAACCGTGAAAATCTATGATTGGCTAAAAATGTGTCATCTGGGATCTGATTGGCTGCAATGCAGCCACTTGATTTATTGGGGGCGGAGGGGGGGGGGATTTGATTAGGCCTCTATACTAATCTAATGGCTAAGTTTACGATTTGTTATAAGACCGATGGTGTTATAGGTCAAAAAAACATTTTTTCGTTCTGTGCGAACGAACGAAGTTACGAACATACGGAACTTGCTCGGTCTATGGCCCTCCTTTCAGTAGAGGGAATGATTATGATAAAGAAAAAAATATATAAGTGAAACATAAAAATGAATAAATGATAATGTATTCGAAGACGAATACTACGGATGAGTCCTTTAGCAATGTGAATTCTCACATTCCAATTGATATGTCAAGTTGGAGGAGACTGTCTTAGCCAAATACTGGTCGATTTTTAAGATTTTCATGTACCTCGAGAATTTTAAAATCTAAATCACTTAGTTGTGGATCTCGTAACGGTTGACTTCGTCCACCGACACTTGTTGCTGATGAGCTATAAAAAACGGAGGAAAACGATTCACATTCAAAAAAAAATGTTTTTTTCTTCTTATGTTACCGTTCATCATCATAAAATAAATCTCGTGCTTTCAACGCTGCTATATCGGCTTGATGTACGACCGATGGAATAGCTTCAGCAGCTGATGATCGAGGATCCGTAAAACATAAATGATACGTTAATAATGGTAATTCATCTGCAGTAAAACCTATTTCATCCAATAATACATGATAAAGTGATGGATGATTAACACCTTGAAATGCATTATGGGAGTTAAGATAAAAGTTGTTTTGATATGGATGCACTATAGTTGTATCAATGGCTGTCCCAATACTCATATTATACACATTCTTGGTCGATGGATTTCGATTAAAAAATCGTGTATTATGACGTTTTTTT